CGCTCAGTTTGAAGGAGCTTCTATTAAAGCTGAAACCAGGAAGCCGCTACGCATTGACTATCTTCATATAATCATTTTGTGAGGATTTATGGTTATGCGAGGCTGAATTACATAGACTCATTATTGGGGTTGATTTTAAAAGGCACTGTGGGCGCAGAGTCGTAATAAACGAGGCACATCTGAATTAGCAGACGCAGCCTCAAGGGCCTTCGGAAGTGATTTATATTGCAATGCGTCCACGTTGTTTCCTCCCCGCCCCTGTATTTGGCTGCAATAGATATAATATACCAACACATCAACACACTATTATGATGTAGAGATTAAATAGTTGGTCGCTTAATCGATTAGTCCACTGGTTCTGAAGCTGGTGGGGCTCAAAGGAATGATGGAGAACTCTCTGCTGCTTCTAAAGCTTTTTGTTATGCTAGCAAAGCTAATTTGCTAACCTTTACCCAATATAGTTAGGCATGACTTTTTGACAAAATCATTGGATCAATCAGTCGTCAGAAAATGTGAAAGTGAATCTGCAACTATATTGATAGGCAGTCCAATCCAAATTCATTTTTTAGTTACATCTAAAGAACAGTTGACCAAAGTGCAGTATAATGAAAGTAAAGAAAAAAGCCATACAGAGACAAAAGTAAAAAAACACAAGATATGCTTAAAAGATGATAATATAGTTTAATTCATATTAAATGGCAAAAGAAATCACCTCAAATGTGAATATTTTCTGGTTTTCTTAGCCCGGCTATTAGACTGGATCATATCGGGGGTTTTCGGGGGTTTTATGTTATTTTATAAACTCTCTGTATGTCCTAAAAGCACCTCTGGCTGATGTGATTTATAGGGGGAAAACTTTCACTTAAAAGTACCGCCTAGATGAATGCCGACTCCTTTTACACGCACACACACACACACACACACACACACACACACACACCAACACACAGACAGACACAGTGAGAGCAGATGTGAATGCAGGAGGGGGGGGGGGGGCACTTTCAGTCTATGAAGAGATGTGAGCTGACGTGGCTCTTGTGAGACGGGCTCACCAGGACGGGAAATGGGATCGTGCAAGCGTCAGGCACGTCCCAAAATCCCAGCCCTGCCAAGCTTCTTGGCTGCAGAGAGCTGACCCCATGTGACCTCCCTCAGGGCATCCTTTGAAAAAAGGGTGACATCATCTTTGAGAGCTTCTTTTTTTTTTTTTTTTTTTTTTTGCACAGAGTAGTAAGAAAAAGTCTTTGTCTGTTAAATCTGTTCCTCGCAAGATTTCTACACTGCTGCCTCTTCCTCCCCCCCCCCACCCTCAAATCTCACAGCACCTAATGAACAAGAAAGATGTAAAATTCATGGGGGTTCATTAATTATTTAATATTAATAAGAAAAGCAGCATAGGCTAAATGTGCTGCAGAAGTCAGACAAGCTGGTAACTGGGTCACTCCCCAGAAACCTCATTTTCCACCTGCTGACGCCAACGTACATTCAGGCCGGGTCTCACTTTATTTGAATGTTTGAGTATTAAATGAGCTTTAAAAACACCAATGCCGACAGGATTGAATTTACATTTTATATGTATACATTTTACCTTTGTCTCTTGCTGACCTTAACTAAATTACCTAGTACATTTCCAGATGAAAATCTGATTACTGCAAGGATTAAACTGCAAAGGGATTCACTTGTAAATCTGCAGGCCTCTTTTTACCTCGAGACAGCATAGGGGCGAAATCTGATTGAACAAGCTGTGCTGGAAGCAGCGCTGAAAGCAGGGCAACAGAGGAAGACAGTAGCTATGCAATGAGATAATAAAGCTAAAGTGAAAAATACTTAGAATACATGTAGTGTAGTTATGAAGAATTATTAAATTATAAAATAGCTATAACTTTGTGATTCTGTCTCAGCCAGCAGAGAAGGCTTTGCTGGCCCTGACGGCCCACCACTGATTATTGACAATACATCAGAGGGGACAGGACGGTTCAGTTTGAATGAATATCAGACCGGCAGGAAAACATGCAGTTTCACTTAATGTGTCAACAGCGCACAGGATCTCTCTCTTTGAAATCTCCATGGTGCAGGATTTGTTTCCATGCCAGCGTTCATTCATTAACAGTTGGATCAGGGATGCAAGTAACTGAAGGGTGAGGAGCTGTGAAACGTTATGTAGCAGTGAATCCCGTGTGTGACAGGTGCGCACGTTGAATAATGCATAACGCTTGGAGCCATTTTTCATTGGAGCAGCAACGGAAGTGTGATGGCAGGCTGCGTTGACTGTTAACTCAGACACACGTACGGCGAAACGGGCCGACGAGACGGCACAAAACACATCGAGACAAAACGATTCGGCTTTCAAGTAACAAATGAACTCTCTATGCAAACGTTCTGCGGAGGTGCTGGGTCATGTTGGGTTGGGCGACAGGTTAGCTGGAGGGTGCTGCGTGTGAATCTCAACCTACTGTTTGATGATGCATTTTGTCTGTTTCAAGTAGAAGTGGGCCATGTGGATAAAATGTTCTGTGTTTCATATCATGATATTGATATACTGTATGTATGTTTGGGCAGCATTATTATTTGATTATTGGGTTTAATTATTTATTCAGTAGTTAAAATACTCTAAAGTCATTTTTTAAGTCATCGCTGGAGCAAAAAATGCCGACCTTTCCCTGATCCAACTTCCCAAATTTGTGAGAATGTGCTGCTTTTCTCTGTTTCATGTCATATCTTTGGGTTGATCAGACAAAACATGCGATTTGAAGACATCATCTTTTTTGGATATTGTGATGTGGCATTTTTCACTATTTTTAAACATTTTACTAAACAACAAACAATGAATCACAAAATTAGTCGTTTGATTAATCAATAATGAAAATACTAGTTGCAGCTCCAATGTTGATATCATTCATTTTGTATAATTATTTTTTAATCATATGTAAGTAGGGTTCATTCTCATGATTGTGATATGTCAGGAAGGCCTTGAGGGAATTTCTTAAAATTTGGCACAAACTTGGAATTATGGATGACCTGATTAGAATTTGGTGGTCAAAGGTCACTGTGAAAATAACTCTAAAGAATAAATCAGCTAATTATGATGATAATGATGAAGTGATGACATTTCGTATCCAAAAGTTCAAAGGTTAACTTCACTGTGACATAACATTCTGGCCATTATTCAATGCCATAGCTCAGGAACAGAAGGGGGAGATTGTGATTGTGATCTTGGGTGCCCACCTTGAAAACTGTGGTGATTGTGTAGATCGTATGCCGGGTTGGAGATGTGTGTGTGTGGAGCATTTACCTTTTAGATTTCGAACCGTAGCTTCGTTGCAGCAACATCTGTATTTGAAGCTTTGTCTGCTGTCATGGTGACAGCTTTGTGTTCAATCAGAATCTGCTTTATTCGCCAAACATGTGAACACACACAAGGAATTTGACAAGAACAACAGAGCCCAAGACAGTTTTATCCAAGACACCCTTAGACCCTCGACTCGGATGAGGAACAACTCCCAGGCTCTGATTTTGTCCTTTTCTCTGCAACGAGCTGCTGTTCTGCCACAGCTCGTCGTCAGAGGGGGTGAGAAGGAAGACTTATCCAACATGGCTTTGATTCTGTCCCTCGACACTGCCTCCACAATGTCCAGCTCCAACCTGACCTGCTGACCTCCATCTGTCAAAAAGAGAAGTGAATGAAGACAGCTTGAGTCTCACTGGAGATTATTCACTGCATCATGATATCGTAAATGGCAAATGTACTTGTATAGCGCTTTTCTTGTCATTTCTTTCCATTATTCACCCATTCACACAATGGCAGGGGCGACCACACGAGGTGCCCATCAGGACTAACATTCATACAACATTCACACACTGTCGGCAAAGCTACGGGAGCAACGGGAGCAACTTGGGGTTAAGTGTCTTGCCCAAGGACACATCGACATGGACTAGTGGATCCTCTGATTGAAGGACGCTCCTGTTCTACCAATGAGCCACAGTCGCCCCATAATAGTGATAACTTCCATTTCCCCCCCCCCCCCCCCACAAAGGTACCTTTTATTAAGTCTCCACTACATATGTTTTATGAGTCTGGACGGACATGGATGTAAACTGCTACTTGAGTGGCTGATAATCATCATATTGAAAAAGTGTAGTAACATTTATTTTTTTAAATGATGATCAATCGATCAATCGTTAAGCTCTACGTCATATACCGCCCAGCACTAGCTTAAAAAAATGTTTTTTCTTATTATTAAAAATTATTTTCATAACTTGCCTGAGAAATATGTTAAATAGTTTTGCAGTTTTTTTTTTCTTTTGGGGACTGATGCAACTGGAATGTGTGTACAGATGATTGACCTCTTTGGGAGAAAATATCTGAAAGACCACGTCCGTGGCTTGCGTGCAAGCCTCCTTGGTCGCTGAAGGGTTAAACGTGGTTTGGTAGTAGGAAGTGGGTGGTGAAAGAGCTGAGGATGGAGCGAAGCCTGTGCGGCGACCACAGAGCGTTTTCCTCGAGAAAATCAATGTTTCACCGGAGGAGAACAGAGTGAGCGCATCGGGTATTTGCGAGAAGCCACGGGGGACAAAAAAACGGACCAAATCCCTCCATCGGAGGACGAAAAACGTGAAGCGGTCGGTTTGCCGATGTGCGTGTTTTCACCAGAGGGACGTATAGAGTCGCCACACATCCTCATCGATCTCGCTTTTTTGTTGTTGTTGTTGAATGCTCAGAAGCTCTGACGGCGCGCGGATGTGCCGTATTATCGAGATTCATAGTCGTGCAATAATGTGCAATGTGCATGCAATGAACTCCGTGTCCATGCATGCACCGGTGTCGTCTCAGCAGCACAGGATGGGGTTTGAATGTGGTTTGGCTGCCCGGGGACTCCTCTACTAACATGCAGCGGATTTCTGCAGTTTTAAGAGGTTTTTTGGTTGCTGTTGTTTTTGAACTGTGATTCGCAGTACATGTGTTGGGGGGGGGGGGGGGGGGGGGGGGGGGGGGTGGGGGGGGGGGGGTAAGGGTGGTTGTGATGTGTGCAAACTTGTTTGCCTCATCTGTGGTGTGATAAGCTTCGGGTTGACAGTCTGGGCTGTTTTCTTCTCTGTCTCTCAGCTGGACTTCACTTCATGCAGTGCACGCGGATCCCACCGTGCAGCCGCGTGCTTATTCAGCAAGTTCCCACCACTGAGTTTGTCAGAGCAAGGGAATGAGGGCCGGGGGTTAAGCAGATGTGCCACTTTTGTTTCATATACATACGTTGATAGTGATATTTGATATGTTGTGTTTGTAAGAGAGAATATTTCTCGTTCGCTGTTGTTTTGCTGCACTGAACATAACGGCGCAATTTAATCCTTATAGAATTAGCGTGTTTACCTGCGTCTCGCCGGTGAAATGACGTTGAGGGCAGCCGACAATCTGCCGAGCGTCGCGGTTTAATAGTAAACAGGCTCTCGCTGAAAGCCACGCGAGAGTGGAGGGGATTGGGGCTTCTTTTCACACACTCCGTCACCTGGAAACCACAGGAGCCCACGAGAACCCTCCGCACAGGTGTGAATCCGGACACGCGCGATGGATGATTCAGGGATCATCCGTAGACGGAGGCTGCAGGTGAAACGTTTTTTTAAATTGTTTATACCACCAGCAGAAATGAAATGTATGGATGCTGTAGAACATGTTTTAATTATTAATACTGGGAATTAGCCTTTTTAAGGAAGGCCAGTGTGATGTATGGTGGTTGTTTGTTCATACTTTAAATTCATTTGTGTATTAATTTAATCACATTTTAATCTATGGATGCTTCCAAAGAGATCCCCAACCATATATAGGCCCTTGAATGACTTCATAAAAATAGTATGAAAAGGCATACAGCCGTAAAAACCACAACATGGAAGGTGTGGAGTCAGTTGATCTAGTACACAGCATAAAACAGCACCATTTCAGGCAGGAGTGGGCGACATGGAAACCCCTCTGTCACAGTATTTATTATACATGATATAGTCACATTTCTGGAAAATCAATTGAGAAAACTGTTCATGGATTCAAAAGAGTCGACTATTTTGGTAAAAAACAAAAAATATCGGATAAATGTGATACATCATCACAGTGAAACAATCTGACTCACTGATTTGCAACTTTGTCCACAATGGCCGAATACCCAGAGATATTAAAGGGCTAGCGATATATAAACAGTATGGCAAAATCTTTGACCGGAGACAAACTTCCTTAACATATTGTCCCAATAAAGTTTTGGAATACAGTAACACCGATAAGTGTTTTACATTCACAACATGTCGTCTATTAACCAGTCTGAGTATGTGGAGTAGATTGTTCCGTTATATCTGCATGATGTATACTCGTCACTTAGCCCACATCTTGTACGATGTGACAAACACCGGAGGGCTCTGGTAGAAGCTTCCGGCGAGGCTTTCCTCCGAGTGGCGGCCGCTTGCGTGAAATGAATTAAAGCGAGGCAGGCACAGCTTACTATGCAGGGCCCATTGTCTGCCAGTCCGTCTCTGCTTGCTGCTGAATTCATTTACAGTAAAAGCACTCCGCTGCACATAGCGCCAAGATGCTCCGCTCCAGATGATTGCTCATGGTTTATAAAAGATATAGACAAGCGACGTTGGAAGATTTCTTGCAAAAATGTTGTTTGGTTGGCAGAACGTGGCAGTGAAACTGCCAGGCTGGGAGTTCCCACTCCTACAGCTGCTGGGCTCCAGCTGTAAGGCCTGTGGATTAGAGCAGACTCTAATTTAATGATTTTATGATAAACGCATGTCTTTGATTGAGTGTGATAGGACAATTACATTCTAAGGAATACAAGACCATCTGCTATCTCTACCTCCAGCTCTTCTTTTGTTGATCTGTACTATTCAGACTAAAATGTTTGATCATTGTTGTCAGAGTGGGAGAGATACAGTCAGTTTGCAATCATTAACAGCTAAGAAAAACATTTGGGGAACGGTCTAGAACAAGTGACATTTTTGGCATTTTTACTTAAAGAGGTTTGACTTTAAAGGCAGGGTTGGTTATCTTGAGAAACTGGGAAGAGTACGCTGGATTTTGAAAATGATCTCTCTTTTCCAGCTAAAGTAGCTAGCAGCACTAGCTCCAAAGGTCGCCAAATCTAGCAAGAAATTCGCCAAGTCGGCGACTCTGACATCCCTCCAAAGCCACTCCCCCAAAATGACCATCATGAACGTAAACAACAAACATGGCTATTGTCAGAGCATTTGAGTAAGGTGAATGCTGTCAGGATGTAATGAGAATTTCAACCAAAATATCAAAAATGTTTTTGAGTGTGATTACCATCCCTGCCCTTTAGCAACTTAAAATAATCAATAATATTCCAATTATCAAAATTGTTGCCGATTAATGTTGTAAATTGTTCTGTAATGTTTTAAATCGATCGAAGAGTCGCTATTCTATGGCCTGTTAGAAGAAATAAGGGAAGTTGCCCATTGTCCGGCAAACAATCCAAAATTCAGACATTCAATTCAAAATAATGAAAGACTTAAGAAAAGCAACACATTCACATTTGGGAGGCTTGAACCGGAGAGTATTTGCAATTTTTGCTTGTTTTAAACTACACAAATGCAACGCCTATATTGTTTCGGCTGGACTATAAATAAGCTTCTATTGAGTTATTACACATTATTGCTCAAATCAGGCACATGTCACACATGTGACATATGTCGTTTTTGTGTGCTGTGGGCTTTGCTATCTTAAAATAAAGTTGTCCTTTTAATTTAAATCTTTTCTCAGAAATAAATTGTAGCTGAAAGTTAAACAATGCATTTGAGAGCAGGGGGACAGCAGATCATTTGATGTGAACGTAAATGTAATGCACACACAGTAAGACACACACACACACACACACACACACACACACAGACACACACTTAGCCCAAGATGGACTTTGTACCCAACTAACATATTTAACAAGGAGCACACAGACACACATTCAAGAAGACGTCTAACTTCTGATTTCAGTCAGAGTGCATGTTAATGTGTGTGAGTGTGTGTCAATCCATTCAGTGGCCCCACTAAGCATCTTGTGTGTGCTTGTTTGTGCATAACATCCATGACTATATGTACGCCTCAAAACGACTCCCACCCCCCATGCTTTCCATTTCCATCGAAGTGGTCGATATCCATATCTCAGGAGGAGGAGGTCTAAATGCCGAGGATGTGGCGCAGTTGTCGGGCCCATTAGCAGGACTAATGGTGGCCTAACAGCCCCGCGTGCCCCTCAGGGAGGAAGACCAACCACCAGCAGCAGGACGGGTTGAAAGGGGAAGCAGCGAAGACCTGAGGCGGGCGGCAGCTGTGGGCTTACAGAACACCCCACTTAAGTGCTCTTACAATATCTGGATCCCTTTATTGCCTGGATCTACTTTCACAGCGGAGAGAGAGGATAGTGTGTGTGTGTGTGTGTGTGTGTGTGTGTGTGTGTGTGTGTGTGTGTATGTGTGTGTGTGTTTCATACGGATTACTTTATGAGTGTGGACACTGAAAATAATTAGGGAAAAAGAAAAGTGGACCTTGAGATCAGTTGGTTTGCTCAATATTGAAACCTATTAGTATCATAAATGAATGCAATCTTGCTGAAACGACTGATGCTGCCGTTCTCCTTGGGAGGACTCGGTCTCTCTCACGGCCACTTGCAGTCTCTAGTATCCTGATTGATCCATCCTGCCGTCACCCTGAAGCCACAACGTCTTCCTCTTCTCTCCGTCTCGCTCTCGACTGTCTCCCTGGCTTCCCACAACGCACTTCTCTGTTATTTATTTACCACTCAGTTCTCCCTCATCTCCTCCTTCATCCACCCATCTTTCTGTACGTTTCTCCCCTCCCTCCTCACTTTCTCTCTCTCATTCTGGCAGATCCCCGCCACACGCCTGGCACACCGTTTTGAGGGCGTGCCATGTGGCGTGGGGGCTGTCATTGTCGTTAAACATGAAATAAATCACATTACAAAATAGTACATTCATTTAGCAGATGTTTCTGTCCAAAGCGACTTACATTTTTCTCCCCAATATGCTTGCAGACCTTATTCTCTTCATGATCCTTTCTGTCTTCTTCCTCGTCATTTTACACTGGTGTCAATTATACTTATTAATTAATACTTGTCATTTAAGTAATTACTCTATTGTTCATATATGTTTATTTGATACTCTCTTGCTTTTTCCTCATTTTGTAGTTGTAATCTTTGATTAATCTCTAGCATAAGAATTTCCTTTGGGATTAATAAAGTTCTGTCCTATTTTATCTTAATGAAGAAGTCAAACATTCGATTATTACACATCCAAAACATTTCAATCATCGCAGAATAATGAACTTTGCTGCCACAGGTCCCCATTTTGTTTGATGACCGGCATAACGAAAATAAACTGAAGTGGTTACGATCTGTGGCAGCAACCAGCACATTGTATTTGGCTGTGACTGTAGGAGCGCGCGTGTCACTGAGATGAGTCACCTTCATCTCGAGTGAAGACGATCCTGACGTCCCGAGCGGTCGTATGTGTGTGTGGAGCGTACTTACACTTAACCCATATGCTCACAAACACACTCGCAAACCAACACGAGTCCTACGACATGTCTCACCCCTCTCTGTTGTAGGAGTACGGAGTGCACCACACACACACACACACACTAGCATAATTTGTCCAATATTTAGTTCCGGGCAGTGTGCCCGTTTCCAATACGCTAAGCACAAGGGATAAGAGTGTGATCACTACAGAAGATCCAGCTCTCCTGTGCCAAGTCCTGTCAGTCACCGCCGTGCCCACCGCTTTGTTCCGCCTCGCCACGTCCTTCTGATGTCAGTATTATTCAGGAAGGCTAGGTTTTGTAGCGAGAGAGCAAAGTGTACATCAAAGCAGCAGATCTGGGCCAGAATAGATTTGGGAACAGCTTCAAATATCTGAGCTACTTCATAACTGGGCTTGAATTATCATGCCAGACGCCTATAAAGCACAAAAGCTTGAGCCCAACTTAGTCCACCAAACAGACAAACATGAATGAAAGTAAGGGGGGTGGGGAGTTTTAAACTAGATCCTGCATATCAAGAAAGTAAAATAGATTAAGAGATGTTCAATGGGACGTTATTTTAGACCTTAGTGTATTGACCAGCCATCTCAAAGCTTTTAAGTAAAACTATTAAAGGGAATAATACACAGTGTGACATTTGCCTCGCAATCTGCTGTCAGTTTTGGCAGCAGAAGAAGAACAGAAGCCTTGTGACTCTGCCCGGAGCAGCAGCAGCATATTAACATTTTCTTTTCTTTGCTTTCCAGTTGGCCTTCGGTTTCTCTTTGGGTTGTATATGGACACCCTCTCTTCACAGTTGAACGTCCCTTTCAAAATAAAATGCAGCGGCCAAATGAGAATTTGAATAATTTGCAGTCACTTGAAGCATGGAGGTTGTATAGAATTGAGTAAATGTGCTAAGAAGCACCAAAACCACTTAATTAATGTCTCTTCTTGCACCCTCATAGTGCAACTTTATCAGATCACAACATTTTCCTACTTTAGATTTTTTTTCACCGATTGATTCTTCAGTAAAACAGCAGAAATTCAAAACTTCCATTACAGTATAAGTGACCTTTTGTGTGTGTGTGTGTGTGTGCGTGTGTTTGTGCATAGCTGGTTGGGGTGTAATCACACCCTTCTGTTTCCACCTATTTTCCCACAGGCGGATATTCATACAGTGTGTAGTCAGGGCTGTGGACTTTTATATGTGTGTGTGTGTGTGTGTGTGTGTGTGTGTGTGAGGACGGCACAATAGGACACGTGATATTTTTGTGTTTTTCACACTTTATTTTTGCCTTTTCATCATAGACAGAACGCATACATGCAGAAAGAAAAAACAAAAACAGAATAAAAATAAAAATAGGAAATGTTTTTCTGATGGTAAACAATCACGTATGATGGTCATCTAGGCCTGTGACCACTAATATATATCTACCATGTGCTTTTCTCACACTTAATATAAAGCATACACTGCCAGCTTTACTTATCTGTCTTCTGCATGTCACGAGGATTTTCTGAAATGTCCAACAAGGGAAATTTCTTCTTCACATAAAATGTATGAATATTAATGACTCAATGAGATATAAATGTAAACGTGATTCAGAGGAAATAGAAATGTTGATCACGAAGTTTGTTTTGGATTATAGCTGCACTCTGAGGTATAAACGTCACCCACATTTACAACGTTGTAATTTACAGACACTCGGCACTAACGATTTATGAATAAAACATTAGTTTGCTTCATGTGCTCACAGGTTTATTGCAAAAATTGTGCTCATTATTGATTAATGGAAGTCCAAAAACTGGCTTTTACATCTATGATTGTCTGGCATGATATTGATAACACACTGTCAAAAAATAACAGGACCGAATCTCCCTTTTCATTAGAAATGAGCAGCTGTGTCACCTCACAATCAGTCTTATAAAAGAATTTAATACCTTTCTAAAGATTTGGTCGCCTTATTTGGATTATATGATTGCCTGCGTAAATCTGTAATCTTTGAGCTGCACTCTTGTTGCATTCTGATCTCTGATCTACTAAGTTACTGAAAACGTCCTTACTGTTGTAACAAGCATCGCCGGGTTCATATTTTCAGATTCACCTGAAGCAAAGTCTGAATTACTGAGAACTTTCTGAGGTTGTCATGGTCACTCGGAATTGAGCATATTGTTCAAAGAAATGCTGGAGTAACCAGTAACATGGCAACAACACGCAGCCATCTGTTGGACAGAGACAGTGAGAGGGAGCAGGTGTTGGGGTTTTATCCATTGGCCAGCCCTATCACTGCACACATACACACACACACGCACACACATACACGCACACACACGTTTAAGACTCCTGCGGGGCTCTCTCTCTGAGTAACCCTGGCCGAGCTCACTTCCTGTTGATGATGTAATTCATTAGCTGTCCCAGAAAGAGCTCACTATGATGGGTGATGTCACTCCCATTGAGAAAAAAAAAAAAAAAGGGATTAGTCTCCTCTGACCTGAGAAGATCGATCCCACTCTCATGTCTTTACATTAAATATGAAGCTACTGACAGCAGCCGGTTAGCTTAGCTTAGCATAAAGACTGAAGGCAGGGGGAAGCAGCTAGCCTTTCTCCGCCCAAAGATTCAAGAATATGTCCCTAAAGCTAATTAACACGTCATATCTTGTTGGTTTATTCGGTCAACAAACAGAAATGTAAAAACAGCAGTTTGTAGCTTCAGGGGACTTAAGTAGTCCTAACTATCTCTTAGCTAACTCCGGCAAGATCTCCAGGCAACCAAGCGGAGAAGCTGCACCGAGGTGCTGAGCGAGCAGAAAAACTTAATTGAGAAATGTATTAAGAAATCGTAAACAGCACATATTAAAAAAACAAGATACAACGTATTGAATAGCATTATTTTTGAACATTTGGAGCCAGCCTAGCTGTCTTTATGCTGAGCTAAGCTAAGCTAATCGGCGCCTGGATTTAGCTCCATACTTAACACACAGACATGAGTGGTATCAATCTTCTCATCTAACTCACGGAAATAAAGCAGATAAAGTGTTTCCAATAAAGCAGATAAGTATATTTCCAATAATGTAGAACTGTTCCTTTAATGTGTGCAGTTATTTTTATTTATTCATGTGATTACTGCACTACTGCTGCTCTCATTGTACACTGCACTTGTTCAATCCCCAGTAGGGATAATTATGATCATGATTCCTTCCTACCTTTGGAAAACTGGTTCTGACTCATTACGATGTGCATTTGCGGCTTTTCTTTTGCTCGTTGGCTCCTCGTAGTCGTATATACTGATGTATATCGGTGCTTCACAGTGCTGGAAAGTAAATGGGTGGTAAGCTTGTTTGGAGATTGTTTGGAGACGAGAGCTCCAGCTGTCAAGTCATGTTTCATCAGCTCGGCTTTGTTTGGGTTTCGTAATGCTTGTGTACTTGTACAAACACAAAGAGATGGACTGAGAGAGAAAGAGACAGAGAGAAATTTAACAGGATGAAATTCCTCTCTGGAAAACCAATTACAGCCTCTTATTTTTCCTCTCACGTTTGTGTTTATTTTTTTCCGTTTGACCCCAGTGTGGTTTGTTCCTTTCATTTCAGCAGCATGGCTCTGTGTCATTAAGCCTTCCCCGAGTGAAAAGACACAGATGATAATATCTTTTGAGTGGAGCCACTGGGCTGTAGAAAATAGCTTGATAAGCAGCGGGTCAGCACGGGCTGACAATAGAAATTGACGGTAACCTGATCTTTTCTCATCCGAGTGTTGAACGGACTCAAATTGGGAATAGATGGGCAACAAGCGCCACACAGATTCCTCCCAGTAGATCCTAATCACGTCAGAGTCCTTGCTGTTGTGTCCCAACGTCGTAAATATAGCAGCAACATGTTTTAAATCAACTTTGGCTCCACTCAACCTGGTGGTTCCTGAAGTCTCCGAGCACTTAGGAGGGATCGGCTTTCAAACTGCGCTCCACTCGCACCAGACATCATCAGAGAAATCACAATACCGACTGTGGACGAATCCCAGCACACCAGTATTTTATTGTGATTTACCAGTTGTACCTCCGGTCATGTTTTTCTGCGTGGGACGCCAGCATTATGTGCTAATGTTGATGCTGAGGTCTAACTTAAAGATGCATGGTTTTTAGTTGGCTCCAAGCAAAGTGGTGACTGTGGAGGTGAGACTGGTGTCTCGATTGTTTTACGATTCAATATAAATGTTCTTTTGCAAACAAATCTGTCAAGGTTTGATGGCCTAGCAGCAATTATTTAGGAAGCAAATGTCAAAATGTTGTAATATAAGACTTTGCAAACGGTTGGTATCAACGTATGTTTGGGAGAAGTTAAACCAGAGTGATCACAAGACTATTGTGTTTACTTTTTCTGACTGTCCTGTAATGTGTGTGACACTCTGAATACTTTCACTTCTTTAATAATCTGTGACGAGGCGGCATAAGTACAAATTGCTACATTTTAAGGGTTCATATAAGCGGAAAAAAAAGATAGGGCACCATTGGGTTAAAACAACTTTGTTGAAAAAAAATAAATAAAATACATAAACTTCTCAAATATCCAACGTGTTGTTGACTTGTGTGACTTGTGTGACTTCTTAAGTACATTTTTTTCTGTAATAGCTTTACAAATCCATTGATGCTGAGTACAAGCTGACGTGTATCAGTCCAAGGTTTGACCGTGAATGAATCTGATTCATACACAGCCTCCTGTCTATATGCTAAAAAACAACAGAGTGCTTTATGGGTAGTTAAAACAACCACAGTGAAATATACGAGGAGATAAAAACTTGAGTCGTTATAACGTTTTTTTCATTAAGTAGCGTATCATTATAATTAGTGTAATTCGATTTTTTTATGATTATGCTAATTCATATTTCCTCGTCACACTAACAGCTTATTATAATCTTTTCCACAGTCCTGTAAACGGTGATTGCATGATGTGTCAAACTCATCAGGCTGATTTATCTTCTCCCCCTCTTCTCTTCTTCTCTCTTGATTTCTGTTTCTCACCAGAAGGATTTACCTCTGCCGCGCAAAAGTAGCAAGTAAGTTAACATTCACGCATGTTTCTTCCTCTGTGTGTGTCTCTGGGTAGATTTACATGTTGTTGAGACATTTGGTGGATCTCATACAATTGTATTCCAAGTCTGGGAATGTCATTAATTCTCTGGAAAACTGAGACAAATTCTACATTTAATGGGATTTAATGAGGTACTTTTGAGGTAATTTTGCATTGTTTTACTGCTGTTCTACATTGTATGGCCCACATGTTTTCTGAGCTGAGAGACAAAACACAAACCAAGAAGGAATGCCTTCTTTCGGTGCTCGGAATCCTTGCAGCTTTGTTAAAGGAAGTCGCGGGGACATGGTGGTATTCTGCTTTCAGCCGGCAGCGTGTTCCAGCTCTGCGGGAGCCCTTTCTGCTCTCTGAGCGCCTCCGTCGACACAATCTGTTGCACCAGTGAGCTGTGATGGATGAAAGTTCAGCAGCAGGAGAGCGGCGCTGTGACCTCAGCGCCCTGCGTGGTCGCAGAGAGGTTGGGAAGGGAGAATGGAGCAGTACATGACGTCGAGTGCAGATAGTGAATGACGGACATCTTATTTGTTGTTTTATTACATTTTTATGATTTATCGAAGGTATCGTAATGCAACAGTCATATGCCCTGTATGTACATTGAAACTGGTGTCAAAGAGATTTCTTCTTTGAGTGATTTCAATGTCAGCGACGTGACTAAATTCAGTTCTCGTGCTGTGAGAAAAATGACTTCCGGAGTTTAGCTGAAGCTGATTTGAAGCTTCAACAGTCTGAGTCAGACAAAAAATTGAAAAAACTCTGTCCATGGTGCTGAAATGAAACTCACCACTCTTTCTTTCACCGGCACACCGTGTTTTACTCAAAAATATGACATGCGGACTGATCTTTTTCACACAGAGGCTGAAGGGACATTTGTTCCTAGCGGGTTTTTTCTGGCAGCGTTTTGTTTGCTTCATATTAATTAATGTTTGCGTCTTGATAAAATCCTCTCTTCTGCCGAGATAGAGGTGATGTTTCTCATCTACTCTTAAAGTTGGATTCGAAAAGCTGTAGCTGGCTGCAGCTAAAAGCACTTCACAAATCAGGCAGAATTTGGAAAAGTGTCTTATGTCATCTCTAAAGGCTGTCTGGAAATGCCTTTGAACATGGAGGGAAGGGGGGGGGTTGCAATTTTCCACAAAATGCTTACACTTTGCCATCATCATTTCGAGTGTTGAAATCCTTGAAATCTCTCTGAAATTGCTGTAGTCCAGAGCCATACTTGCTTTTTTTTTTACTTTTGACTTGGCCGCTCTTGTGTGAGAGCAGAATGTGAATCTGTTTATCATGTAAACTGCTATTGCTGCACTGAGGGAGCAGGAAGTTGTAAATGTGAAGCATGGATTTAATTCCCCGTATTGAGCTGCACTTTTTAAATATTGAATTGTATGCATTTTACCCTGCATAGTCACTGTCTGGCAGCAGTAGCCCGATGATGCTAGCTTATACATGCCTGGTGTATTTAATGTCTTTCTGCATCCACGTGTAATTACAATTTACCGCCTCACTCTGTTCGGCCACATGAATTTGTGTGTGTGTGTGTGTGTGTGTGTGTGTGTGTGTGTGTGTGTGTGTCAGTGATCTGGTGTGCAGCATGCATGTGTGTCCCTGACTGCTGCCACGAAGTGTGTTTTGTCCCTGACCTCTGACCTCCGTGTGGCAGATGTCACGGCGTGACATGAAGGAGACACTGGAGCTTGAGGCTCACGGTCAGCCCCCCCCCCCCCATGGGTTTTTCTCCACACATCTTCCTGTGGGTGGAGCTGGAGTATTAGACTATGGGTGTAATGATGGGGCGTTTATTGCAGAGTGAGAATAAAGTGAGCTGAAGGACAAACAGGCTACCAGATATCTGAAAACACTGAGAGGTTAAATATGCTTCAGAAGAGACAAAAAACAACTCCCACATTACACTCAAAAACAAACACACCACGTCTTCCATATGATATCATGCTGCCCATCCCTGTCTGTGACCCCCCCACTGTGTTTCAGTGATATCATCACCCTCTTCCTCCCCCCTCCCCCGTCTCTCCTCGCACATGTATATTTTATCCAGCCAGACTCCCACATTAGAGACGGCATCCATTATTGAATTACTCCCCTCAGCACTACTGTGCAACTGTCACCCCACGTCAGCTTTAACATTTGGTGGATTTGTTTCAAAGGGAGGGACACACACACACACACACACACACACACACACACACACACACACACAGAAATGACATCTCTCTTGGCTGGGCATTGCAGAGCAGCTTCTGTTATATCTAGGGCAAATAGATGATGCCAGAGCTCATCCAATATGGCATTTTACAAAGAAAAAAATAGAACTGCGTCTCTAAGTGCATTTTAAAAGGATGCTGACGTCATTCTATATCCGTTCCTACTGAAGATGTAAATCTTTAAAAAAGCATTGCAGAAATATAGTTTAATCCTGAAAAGTCTCAGTAATTTCCTAAAGCAGCTTGGCACTGTAGCTTTAAGCAAACATCACTTGAACAGGAGTAAATAGTGCATGCTTTGGGATCTATTTTCAGCTGCGGATTAATACACATTTCCACCGCTAGTGAATATTTACAGCAAAAAAAACGGTATTTGTGGGATTGACTTAAAATTAAGTCCAGTTCTGGTGTTCAAGGAAGATGTCACCCAGTGTAACCGTGTGGTTTATGAATGTGTTTTCAAAGGGGCGGACCCATTATTTATTCATTAAAAAAAAAAAAAAATTTTTTAAATCATTATGTAGCTACCCAGCGGTGTTCCTTATGAATTCAAATCCAAACGCACGTTCTAGTGTTAAAATGCTAGTATTATGAGTAAGATTTGCTCAAAACTAAAATGCCCAGCTCTTTAGGGAAACTATTTAGCCTTTTTACTGAAGGAAAAAATGGAAGATATACATCTTCAGTAGGAGTAGAGGGCCTTTAAACACAGAGGGCTGCAAAATTTGTGCATGAAAACTTTTCATACCTGCAGTGATGGGAATGTGCACCAGAGTCGACACTTTTTCAGTAAAAGGTTCAAATAGATGGATGCAAGCTGAGGACATACTGGGATCCTATTGACCCAGAGCAGCGTCTGGCTGAGCTAAAGTGTTGTGTAGCCTAAGCTACTGAAAGCTATTTGTTTGAGTTTCCTTTTAAGGAAGTGCTCTGAGTAAATTTGAGTTATCTCTGGCATACAGTTACACAGTGTATATGTTTAGGGGTTTTATTGTGAAAGGTGAGAAGGGGAAAGAGCGCATCTGGTTGAAAAGAGTAATAAAGTTTGCTGTCTTGGTTTAGACTACGGGGCCGTTGTTGTACACTATAGTGTACGTTTTGAATATGTCAGTTTCACACAACGTGATTGGTTGATGCCTTTATTTGCCATGTGAAAGCTCAGAAAAATCAACCTCAAAAAATTATTTTTTACCACATAGTATTCGCGTTCTACGTATTCATGACAAAAACAATAGTTAAAAATATAACAATGATGTATTAATTAATTACACAAAAAAAACACCCTCTGTGTGTAAAGCATGGGGAAGTCAGAAAGCAATGAGGGACTAATACATTGTTGGTTTTGGTCTTTTCATGAGATTTATTGACAAAAACATCGATTTTTGCCAGCCTTATCCTTTAATAGCTTTTGGGCACAGAGGAATAAAATCTATCAGTCTTTGTTAGTTGGATGAATCCATTGTTGGCTCTGGTCTTTTCGGTGGATTTGTTATGTAATAAGATAAATATAGAATAACATCATCATTATCCCTTAATGGTATTATTTTTTTTACGATGTCAGTACCAGCAGTAACATACACACAAAAAAACACTCACATGTGAAAACCATCGACCGTCTTCCTGTCTTGTCATTCACATTAGTCGTCAGATCGTCTCTCCACCTCTGATTGGCTTTCACTCGCTCGTTCTTGCATTCTCACTGTCTCTCTCACTCTCTCTCTCTCATTCATACTGTGCATATACCTGTAGGGTTTACTGACCCCCCTCCCCTTTCCATCTCTCTCTCTCTCTCACTGCCACCCTCCCCCCTCGCTCTGTCGCTCCACACTTCCTGACTTGGCACGATACCCTTGAGAGCAGCCCCACAATCCTCTCTCCGTCTGAGAGGGATGCTCACCAGCCGGTCCCCTCTCTCCACCTCTTCCCTCCTCTCTCTCACTCTCTCTCTCTCTCTCTCTCTCTCTCTCTCTCTCCCTCATACACTCTTGCACGCAAACTCGTCTCGGCGAGACAGCGGTGAGTGTGTGTGTGTTCAACTGGCCAGAGGAGGCTGACATGCCGGTGTGGAGCGTAATCGCTGCCTCTTAACTGCCTCTGTGTGGGTGTGTGTGTGTGTGTGTGTGTGTGTGTGAGTGAGTGAGGCTCAGCTGCTCTCATGATCATCTGCCAACACAGCCTCTGCTGCTAGCAACATGTTTCGACGCACAAAAAGGTAAACGACAACCATCTGTCTCCGTGCAGTCTTTGTGAGCGGTGTGGTGCCCCGCTGTTGTCGGTGTGTGTCGATTTAGTCGGAGGAGGCTGCTGTGTTTTTCTGCGATGTTTCCGTTGTCCCTGCCAGCTCTCGTGCTGTCTCGCAGTTGTCTCCCTGTCTCCATTTAGCTCCAGCAATATGGTGTGTGTGCGTTTGATGTCTTCATATGCATAAGTGTTAATGCAATTCTGTTTTTTGTTGCTACGGTCTGCTTTTACGGTTTGCATCTGAGCTTCTGAAGTACATAGAGGTTTGATAATATGTTTGCAGATGTGTGTGTGTGTGTGTGTGTGTGTGTGTGTGTGTGTGTGTGTGTGT